TGTCAGAATCCAGTTTCACAGTTCATCTAATGGCAGGAATGACTAGGAAACGCAGTGTCATCATGTATGCAGAAGGAAGGGGTCTTAGGAGAAAAGCCAGTTAGCATCTGCCAAGCCAATTATGTCACCAATTTATACATATATGTGTATATATGTATATATCTATGTATATATATATTTACATTAGAAAGAAGAAAATTCTATTAATTAGTGAAGTACAGAATTTACTACCTCAAGTTAAGTTTGTTCATTGTGTTCTACCAATCTATAGCCTTATTAACACTTTTTTTTGTCAGATTCTAAAAGAAATGTGTTACACTTTCCCATTATAATTGTGAAATCTTTTTAAAATTTTTTAAAATTTCAAGACTATATTGTTAGGCTTGCACAATTTAATATTTTATCATGAGATCATTCTTTATTCTTAATCATCTTTGACTAAAATTCTCTTCTTACTGATAATCAATAATATATTACCTGCTTTATTTTGGTTAGGTTTTGCTAAGTGTTTTTAATTTTTACCAATGGCTTGTCATGTCTTTTTAGGTAGGTCTCTTATAAGTAGCTTATGATAAGATTTTTAAAATATCCAATTTAATAGTTGATTTTCTGATTGATGCTTTCATTTTATTATTATTATTTTAATATTTTTCTATTACCCTATACTTTTCTTTGCTTATTTTTTTTTCTTACTTGCTTATGTTGGATTAATTTTCTCTTTGAAAATGTGGATGCTACAAGTTCTATTTTTATCCCTTAAGACTCACACTGTACTATTTGATAACAAAGTATGAAGGCATTGTATGTGTGCATACAATATGTATACAAGGACTTTGGCACCTATTACTCTGATCCAAACCCCCTTACTCATCTTTCATCTACTTTTAGTTTCCTTTTTTTTAAAGCAAGTTTTTAAATCCCTTTTCTTTTTAAACACAAAATTTGGTTCCTTTTATCGTCAGTATTTAATTATAAAAATTAAAATATGATTATTTTCTTTGTGCAATTTGCTTCTTTTCCTACCTCTGTTACATAAAATTGTATTCCACAAAGACATGATGAACACAGAGTTGAGCAAGTTGAGAGAGGAAAATACATGTATTTTCTTCATTATGGCAGTTTTCAGAGTACTTCTCCCTTATTTTTCAAGGTAATTTTTTTCTGGAAAATCTTTTGTATATTCTGGGACCAAGAAGACAAAGAAACTATATTACAGATAAGGATTCATCTAATTTATTTTGAAATATAACCAATTTCAAAATTTTAAGATTTGATATTCTCAAGGCAGCCTAAAGACACTTGCAAATCAGCGTTTTTCTTCATAGGATTCGATTTTTATTGACTACAAAAAAAAAATAAGTATTAAGATATAATTTCAGGTTTCTATGAAATAATTCCAATATAATGAAAGTTTAAGAATCATTTAATGTTTTAACACTTTCGGTAGTTGCTGTTTAAAAATTTATAAATTTATATAATAATTGAGATCTCATACTTCCTAAAATAATTAATGTTGTTCTTCAACACTAAGAAGTTTTTGCTATTGCACTAAAAATAAAAAAGCAAAATAATTGGCATAAATAGTAGAAAATATAAAACATTTGTTTTGAGTAGTGATATAACTGAAACCTGGAAAACACAAGAGATTTTAGTTTAAAATAAAATTTGCTACGTGGATGGATAGAAGATGAATGTGCAAAAATCAATGGATCTTTATTTTCTATTATATAAGATGATCCAGGAGTGCAAATAGATAGGTGAGTAGATATATAGATAGCAAAAACAATATTTTAAATATTCAACTGACAAGTGATAGATTTGGGAAAACAATACAATGGAGATACTACAGTTAACGTCTATGTTATGGAAGAATTTATTTTAAATTGTCAAAAAAAATAAATCCACTTAAGACTAAAATTAGCAGACTATATGAATAGGCAACTAACTGTAGAGTCAATTCAAATGGTGCTGAATCCTATGAAAAGATGCTGACTCTCTAATAGATAAACATAAATTAATCATCATACTTATCAGATTGCAAAATGTAAAAGAACTGTATAACTTACTGCTGATGGGGATGTGGCAAACATGAACAATTGGTCATTACTGACATACATGCAAATTGTTACAACCTTTCTGTCACATTCATTACATTTCAAAGTACATATATCTTTTATTTCTGATATCCGAATTCATAACACAATCTTTTATAAATAAAAGAATCAGTAAGTAGAGATATATGTATACATATGTTTACTGCAGCATTATTCATAGTGTCAAAGAAAGGAAATGAGATTGTTCATCAATAGAGGAATGTTGTAACTATTATGATGCCTCAGACATCATGTTGCTGTAAGTATTTAGGCTTCAATAAAAGCCATGAAAGACATATTCTAAATTGCTAACCAAGGTTCCTTAGAATAGAGTGATGAGAGCAGAGTGGCAGAGAAGGAGAAAGGGAACAAGAAGACAATATATTAATTGGCTGATTATAGTATCCAGTATAGTACACATATATAGCACATACATATATATAGATATCATATTGTACATCTTAAATATATACAATAAAACATATATGTTAAAAATAACCAAATAAAAGCCTGCACCAAAACAAAATAACTTAAAAAACCAAAATCTACCATGTATGTTATTCCATTTATATTAGTATCTATAATGAAAGTTAACAAATCTTAGTAAGATATTTGGGAGGAATGAACCTTAAATCATTGGGAAATGGTAGACACCAATTAACACTGTAATATGAGCAGTTTTAAACATGAGTTTTAAATTTATCACCTGAGAAATATCAGTATTCAAATTTTACCCAGTACTTTTTCATTAAGTGTCTCGCTATTATAGCCACAATTAGCAAGCATGCAGAGATCTGCTGTATGTGACAGATTTACAGATTCCTCTGGCATTTCTATACAACAGCAATAAATAAACAGAAACCCAAATTAAAAAGCACAATCCCATTCACAATGGCCACAAAAAAAATCAAATACCTTGACATCTTCCTAACCAGAGAGGTGAAAGACCTTTACAAGGAAAACTACAACACTGCTCAAATAAATCAAATATGACATAAACAAATGAAAAAATATCCCAAGCTCATTGATTGGAAGAATCAACATTGTTAGGATGCCCATCCTACCCAAGGTAATCTACAGATTTAAGGCAATACCCATTAAATTACCAGCAACATTCTTCTAACAGACCTGGAAATGACAATACAAGAATTCATATGGAAATATAAATGACCTTGAATTGCCAAAACAATCCTCAGCAAAACAAACAATCCATAAAAAAACAGAATGCATCACACCCCCAGACTTTAAACAATATTATAGAACTACAATAATCAAAGCAGCCTAGTATTGGTACAAGAACAGGCAAATAGACCAATGGAACAGGGTAGAGATTCCGGAAGCAAAACCTCAATTGCTCAACAAACTCATCCTTGACAAAGCCTCCACCAACAACCATTGGGGAGAGGAGAAACTATTCAGTAAATGGTGCTAGGAAAACTGGCTGACCACATACAGAAGATGAAAACAAGATCCCTACCTATCACCATACACAAAAAAACAACTCAAATGGATCAAAGATCTAAATATAAAACATCAAACTATAAGAACATTAGAAAATGCAGAAGACATTTTTATGGAAATTGGAACTGGCAACCAATTCCTGATCAAAACTCCAAGTGCCCATGCCATAAGAGAAAAGATAGACAGGTGGGACCTCATCAAACTGACAAGCTTCTGCAAAGCCAAAGAAACCATTAAGAGAGCAGGGAGACACCCATTACAAAGTAGGCAAAAGATATGAATAGACACTTCTCAAAAGAAGACATATGAGCAACCAACAGATACAGGAAAAAATATTCAGCTTCGCTAGTCATCATGGAAATTCAAATTAAAACTACACTGAGATACCACCTGACTCCAGTCAGGATGGTCATCATCAACAACTCGAAAAACAACAGATGCTGGATAGGATGTGATGAAAAGGGAACACTTCTACACTGTTGGTGGGAGTGTAAACTAGTACAGCCTCTGTGGAAAACAGTATGGTGATTCCTAAAAGATCTAAAAATTGACCTTCCATATGACCCCGCAATCCTCCTACTGGGAATATACCTGGGGAACTCATGTCACTCCATGAAAAGATAACTGCACATTTGTTATTGTTTATTGCAGCATTGGTCACAATAGCAAGAACACGGAATCAACTGTGGTGCCCATTGAAAGAGGACTGGATAAAAAAAATGTGATAAATATACACGATGAAATATACAGTCATAAAGAAGGACAAAATCATGAACTTCACTGCAACCTAGATGGACTATAATACTGAGTGATCTTTCACAGAAACAAAGAACTGAGTATCACATTTTTTCACTACTAAGCTGACCTTGAATAATTATCATAAAACTATAAGAAAAGGATTAGTAGTAGTGGGATACTGTGGGTGGGGGGAGGAAGGATTGGCAGTAGTAGGAATCTGCCAGAGGAGGGGGGAGCATACCTCATCAACAAGGATACCTGCAAAATGAACATTTGTATACCTAATTCTGAATTGTGCCCCACATCTTTAAAATAAAAAAATTAAAATGAAAAGAAAATAAAAATTGCCCACACTGACCTAATGATATAGAAACAGCAAAAACAAAAACAGCAGCCTCAGAAATGTAAATATTTTCTTAATTACAGCCATTAGTGACAGTTACTAAAAATGCATTCTTTATTATCATTCAGTCTCTCTTCTTTATGTGTATTGCAACATACCAGCATTACTTTCTGTACAACTCAGTAAATCATTTGCCCTCTCATCATTGCTTTCATTGTCTCAGAATATCAATAAGGATCTTCTGTACAGAAACTCTAAGTTCGATGTCAGCTTTAAAACGATATGACTTTATGACCACAAAAGAGCTTCATTTCCAGCTTGCTACTCTGAGTCAACCCTTAAGAGAATCATGAAGAACCTCCTGTCCATGTCTATTTTTTTTATTCTCTGGGCCTAAAATCTTTCTCCTCTTTCTCATCTATCACCACCATTAATTCTTCAAGTTTCTCCTTCAGATAGTCCTTGAGTGATCTTCGTATTGCCTTCATTTTCCTCCGATGAGAGACACAAAAATGGAATCTAGGGTAGAAAAAGAAAGTAATTCCAATGTTAATATCAGTAACCACATTCTTTATACCAATTATGCATTTTTTTTCCCTTTTCTGGATGCTTCTCCATTCCCTTATGCTCCAACAACTGTCCCATCACACCTCCATCCATTTTATTCTGGTCAGTATAACATTCTAGATTTTGAAATGAATTATTTCTTCTATTTCCATTGGGAGGAAGAGGACATTTACAAAAGAAATGCTTGGCCCATTGTTTGTTTGGTGGAAGGAAAACTCACAGTAACAGAGCACTTCCCAGTATCGAAGCTGTTGCCAACAATGTCAGAAATAACACAATCTCTCTATTCTCAGCCTTTCTCACATCTTCATCTGAAAGGAGAAGAGAAATACCTTGGAATCTTTATGCAGAATAGAAGCCTCTTTTAACCTCAGTTCCTTGTTTACTACATCTTGACTGTTCTTTGGTTATTCTAACCATTATAACTGTCAGACACTTAGGCACCACAAAACTTTTGCCCTTGTTGACCTTAATCTAATTTATCCAGTTTTAGACCAGCCTTTTCAATGATCAGTCAAATTTTTTCATACTGGTGCAAATTTTCCCCAATATTTTAGAACTATTTGGCAACATTATCATGACCTTCATAGAAGATGCTCAACAAGTATCTGTTGATCCTTGGCCCCTCAAATTACCACACTACAATTTTTGTTACCTCCACAGTATTCTCCTTTGAAGCACCTGGTGGTCATGCGAAGACAGGTCCAACAATCAAGGATGGGACCTTCAATCACAACTGACAAAGAGGAAAAGATAGCCAGGATGGGGGCATGGCATGAGGGTTTCTTAGCTCAGACATCTAGTGTCTATTTGATTTCAAGCATTCCCAGGGCTCTAAAGGTTGCATTGCTGTGAATTCCTTCTTCTTCTAGAAATCAAGTGTATTGATGGGTCAAAATCTGTAATTTAAGTCATATCTCTGGGGAAGAAGTGGGAAAAATGATGCCTCGATGTATCTTAGGTTTATGGGTTGTAAACTACACTTTCGGAGGCCTCTGAGTACTTCCAAAATTATGTAATGTGCCTGCACTATCATAAGCTAGCTTTTGTTATTGACATTTGCCCTTGTAACCACAGCTCCAGAAACTGGGTTCTCAGTGTAACCGATGGAATATGTAGAGCAATGTAGAGCAAAAGAGATGGGGAAAATATGGGCTGAAACCTCAAGGCATCACATGCACTGTACTCACTGCAATCTTCAGAACAAGCTAGAAAAGAATCAGAAAGTTCGAATGAGCATAAAATCAACTTAGAGTTTACCATATCATACACATGAAGTCTTTGTTTACCCATTAAGTTCTAGCTACCTCTCATCCTTTCTAAATAACTCTATTATGAGCCCACATTTCTACTTTCACCTATTATTTTCTATTTCCTTCATATAATTTCAGTGTGGTTAGACAGAGAGTTTTCATTACCAACTTCAGAGAAGTTCTTTAATAATTCTTTCAGTTTGGATTCCAGGTTTTGGCGGACCTCAAGAAGTTTGCCTTGTAAGATAAAAACACCTAAGAGGGAGCAAAAGGGATGTCACAAAACGAGGATAGCTTGTCCCTTCAGAATTTAATTCTACCTGTTTTGCCTTGTTTTCCCCAATCTATGGACTTCTTGGGCAATACAAACTTTTAACATGGAAACAATACCTCACCTTTCCATGTTTCATTGCCCAGTCTATAAAATTCATTCTTCAGCCATATTCTCAACTTGACAACCTTTTGAACAGCTAGAGAGAAAAAAGGGAGGTAAATATAGGAGAATAATTATATCTGTGGAGAAAGTTTTATGTGGATCCAGGTGTTCTCTTCTTTGCCTCCCGTCTCACATTAATCCTCAAAATTCTTAGGGAGTCAAATTTCCCTCACCCAATACCCGAAGCATCTTGTTACTATGGGAGGCCTTGAAGCTTAAAAGGATCATCTCCTTAATCTGTCGTTCAAGCAGCTGAGTTCGGCCAGGGACTTCTGAGGGTAGGAGATTTGCCAGCAACGACTGAACGTCCTCTATGAATTTGGGGTCACACTCTAAACAGCCTTTGACCCCATGGAAGGCTGCCAGGGACAGGGGCAGGAGCAAGAGGAGGCCCAGATCACCCATTTCCTTGTTCCAGCCTCCTCAACTTCCTCAACAGCAGGTTGTCCTGGCAACTAGTTCACTTTGTTCTTTTTCCTTCAAAAACCCAGGAATGAGAGAGTCTCGTCCTGGACAATCTGACGCCACCTTTCCCTCCATTTATACCCTACTTTCTGGCAATCTCATTTCGCTAAGGATCATTCGTTGTTTTATTGTTCTTATCCTTCATTCTAGAGGAAGGAAACTGCCATCTGGGGAGCAGATACCTGAGTTCTGAGTGTAGAACACAAAGAGAGAGAAGTCCTGAGCTCACACAAGCAGAGTTCTGCACAGGGAGATGTCTCAGGAAAAGTGTTTCTTTAACTCTCTCTCTCTCTTGCTTGTGTCCTTAGTTGATTCCTAAGACTTTCCAACCTTTTGGAGTAGTATATCCACAGTGATAGGTAGTAGAAGATGTCTCATAGGAACTTGGAGATCATTTAAACAATCTACTACTAAAGAGGTGGTAAGACAAAGTGAAAATATTGAGTTTCTTAGGGGCCCAGTCCCTACTGGTGGCAGTATTGTTGAGAATTAAGAAGTGGGCATTTATCTATAATCATAATTTATAATTGTAAGATATGGTAATTGATAATTTCTCAGTCATTTAAGGCTACCTTGACTATAGGATGATTCCTCCAGCCATGCTTTGTAACTGTTTTTATAGTATTCTTCTTATAGAGAGTGTGGAGTTACAGACTAGAAACAACAGTTGAAGAATAATGAGTGAGAATCCAGTAATGTTCAAGATCCTTTAGCAAGTGCTTCATGAAATACTGACTTGAAGTGTGCCACATGCTAGACCACAGCCACAGTTACCATGGACTGCCTTCTTAGGTCACCTACCTGGAAGATGGTCAAATAAGCATTTTCTTCCTTCAGTTTGAGGCTACTTGAATAAGGATAACTTGGCACAAGAGTTCTTTGAACACATTAAGGCTGCTCTGCAGATTTTTAAGAGTACTGGTTACATCTTTTCAAACATATGGCTTATATGTCTGTGACCTCCTGGAAACCAGGAAATCCTGGCATTTTAAAGGGTTAGTGGTAGAATTTAAACCTAAGATATGTGATAGTCATAGACTGAAAAGTTGTAAGGTAAGTTAAAGAATTACCATTAATTATATGTCTACCATGTGATGGATATTATGCTAAATACATAAGAAAGATCATCACAAAGACTCATGGCACAGCAATTCTTTGAGAGACTGTCATCTCCATTTTATAGCTAAGAAACTGAGGCTCGGGAATGTGAAAGAATCGTCTCGGGCAAAATAACTTAGCAGTATGGACTCAGGATTCAAATTTATGTCTTTCTGGTGTAAAGCTCCATATACTGCCACTCAACGACCACTTTCTGGGTTAATGCAGAAAATAATCTCCCAGAATTTGATAAATCAAGTCATAGAAGCCAATACAAATATTTTGATTTGATTGGTGGCTTCAAATTGGCATCCCTCTGCTCTGATTTTTTGATTCATTTGGGTAGATGATCTCATCTTTAGAATATTCCTCGAAGGATTTTCAGATGCTGAGGTCTGAAGGCAAGTAACTAATACGATTAAATTAATTCTGGAAACTAAAGTTGAAGACTAAGGAAGTTAAGAAACTTGGCAGGCAGATGGCCAGGTGGTTTGAAAACAAATTGTTCTTTAAGAGAAGGTATACGTTGTAGATATATTCCAGTCAACGAAACATTCCCCCACTTAGATAGTTTGCAGAAAACCCTCTTCCACATTACTAATAATTCAACCTCTTTCCATGGCACTTAATTTTGACCCAGACTTTGTGGCCCATTTTTCATTTTTATCCTTGCCTTACCTTTCTGCTTAATTTTCAATTCAGATCTTTAGAATGAGAGAACGAATAATTTGGCTTTTGAATACTCTTAGACAGGCTAGCCATTTCTTAATAAGTCAAGAGGACTTGTAACTGAAAGGAACATATAAAATGGATGACAATGGAAGAAATCTCAGTTTTGTGGCATAAACAGTGGGTTGATAAACCACAGTGTACTTATGGCAAGAGCAGAGGAACATACAGAGGTTTATGGAAAGATAGAACAACATTAACCTAGTCTGGAGAAATATTTTATAGAAAGGTTGAAATCAAAAGACTAGAAACAATAACTAACCGATATAAGGTGATTAGTGAGAATCCAATGTGGCTCAGGAACCTTTACAAAAAGTCTCTAGACAGTGCTAATGATGTAGCAGTGGTGGGAATCTCTCTGGGGAAGGGGGGGCACACTTCATTAACAAGGGTACCTGCATAATGAACATTTGTATACCTAACTCTGAATTGTATCCCACATCTTTAAAATAAAAAAAATTAAAAGAAAAAAATAAAGTACTGATGATGAAGTGTCTACAAAAATGACCATACATCATAGATCGTCTTTTGAATTTTATGAATGTGAAATATTTGAGCTTTGGGAAAGAAGAGCGCTCTGAAAATTGATTAATAATATAATAATCACATTAGTTAATTAAGATAATAATACTTGTGTCTGGGAGGCAAAAGGTTAAAACCCAAATCCTAGATGGATTATGCTAGAATTCAGTTTGGATGGGCTTGAGGGGATAAGATTTATAGAAAGTATAAATCTGTAGAATAGCTAGCTGAACTCTTTATTTGCTTAACATAGTATAACAGATACATGATAGAACATACATTTATAATATTATACCAAATATATAATCACTATTTGTGATTCTTACAAAGATAAGATATTCATGGGCATAACATTATTATACTATAATACTAATGATTAGATTTTACAAGTCATACAATGCACTGACATATAACATTTGAATAACAAGTTTTTTTTTTTTTTGAGTTGGAGTCTCACTCTGTCGCCACTCCTGGCCACCGCAGCCTCGACCTACTGGGCTCTGGCGATCCTTCCGCCTCAGCCTCCCTAGTAGCTAGAACTACATGCGAGTGCTACCATGCCCAGCTGATTTTTTGATTTACTGTAGAGATGAGTTCTCACCAAGTTGCCCAGGTGGGTCTCGAACCCACAGGCTCAGGCAATCCTCTCACCTCAGCCTCCCAAGGCGCGGGATTACAGGCTGAGCCACCGAGCCTGGTTGAAGAATAAATGTTATAAAGAAGATCAAGAAGCTTTTTGCAGAAATTTTCCCTCATCTCATCGTAGATCTGATTCCCAGATTCAAAAAAAAAAAAAAGCAATGACTCATGTGGCTCAAATCTCTCATAGCCTTTTTTTCTGTGGATTATTTACTCTGTCGAACTCTGCCCTATCACTTCCCAGGTTCCTTAAGATTCTGGCAAATAATCCAGGTAACTTTTGAAGTCAGGTGAGTTTAAACACATTCCTAAAAATAATTTGAGTTTAGGAAGCCATTATTTGGTATTTGGCCTTGTTATAAGTGATCTTTCTAGGCAGCATAGTAATCATACTTGAAATAATTACTATTAGCCAGACATCTTATATGTAAGATAAGTTTTATACTTTCTATATACCTCCCCATTTATATTTCATTGTCATTAAACTAATTTATTTCCCTATATTCCATTCATTCTTTAGGAAAAATCATAAGGGTGGGTAAATTATTGGGTAGCCTGGAAACTTAGAAGGAATCTCCATATGATAATAAATTGCTTTAAAGAGAAGCTTGTTACAGCATAGTGATTGTGGGAAGAATGAGGGAAGGTGAGTAATGGAAGTTAGAAGATAAGTGTCACAGCCTCTTCTGTCTAGGTTAGGGTTCCAGAAGGGAAGAGACATTAGATGTGTTAAGGGAAATAATGAAGGAATACCGGATTTTTTTCCCTGCTTCCTTTAGGCACTTTAAGGCTACCCAACTTACTCACATTTGGACAACTATCCCTGAGGAAATGTGTTCAACACAACAGGATTAGTCAATAGAAGCTGGTCCTGAGATGACATTAGTTCCCACGTGACACAGAAGATCCAAGATGCTTCCGCTGCTGCTGGGGACGGATGTTCAAGTAAACTCAGCATGTTTGCCAGTTGTATCATACAGGCTTCAGGTAAAGAGACCCTTTCGGAGAGCTGGATATTAGACCTGGTACTAGGCTAGGAAAGGAAATGGAGTGGAAAGCAAGCTTCAGAGCCTTGATGGGCCAAATCAACAGGGAAGACCACCAGACCCTGACAAAATTGAAAGGCAACAGACCAAAATTGCCCTACATGCATAATTTCCCAGGAAATACCACAAGAGGATACATAGATGATATGGTAATATGATATCTTCACCTTAGAAGATACCAACACATTGTCAAGAATTAAAACAAAGATCATCAAAGTTACAAAAACGAAACAAAACAAAAAGTCATAATGCAAGAAAGCACACATCAGTAAAGAAATTCACTGCAGTTTACTGAGGGGAAAATGTCAGACTTTTAAAACTTTTGTGTGGAGAGAAAGAGAGAGATCTTGGTGGTTATACTTATTACCATTTTAACATGGTAGGATGGATTGAGTTCATAGTTGGACTCAGACTTGAATTAAAACAAGTTGAATTTTGATGATTAATCAGGCTCAAGGAAAGTCTTACCTCCTATTGTTACTCAAATTTCATGGTTCCTTATCAGTTTCAGGAGGTCAGAGCTAGTTGGAATGAAACATAACAGTTTTAAGCCGGGTTCAGTGGCTCAGCCTGTCATCCCGTGCCTTTGGGAGGCTGAGGTGAGTGGATTGACTGAGCCTGTGGGTTCAAGACCCGCCTGGGCAGCGAGACCTCATCTCTACAATAAGTCAAAAAATCAGCCGGGTGTAGGTAGCGCATGCCTGTAATTCCGGCTACTTGGAAGGCTGAGGCGGAAGGATTGCCAGAGCCCAGCAGGTCGAGGCTGTGGTGGCCGGGAGCAGCCACTGCACTCCAGTCTGGGCGACAGAGTGAGACTCTAACTCAAAAAAAAAAAAAGAAAATAACAGTTTTGATATCTCCTAAACAAATGCTGCTGTATGTGGAAAACTTTCCTTTGCATGCTATACAC